GTACAGTAGACTGTAGTCTGTCCATGCATCCTGTGAATAGTGTATGCACATTTGGGATTGATAAGCTAGCCTTATGATGTACCATGATTCAATTTTGCATGAAACCATATAAATAGTTAACAAGGTACAGTAATCTAATTCTATATATATGCTCTAGTTGGTTTTATGTTTTCACTTTTTGTTATAGTTCTATTGTTTCAAACCTGCAATATAGATGTTTAGCTCATGCTCACATAATTTGTTTCCGGCAACCCTGGGGGATTTTCTCACCACCCCGGGAAGGCAGATGTGTTTTGGCTCTGTATATTTTAGCAAAAACAATGAGTTTGATAGCAAAAAGCAATGAGTTTTGAATGTAAAAAAAGAGTTTGGTAGCAAAAACAAATGTGCGTTTTGAATGCAGAAAACGGCCAGTTTGGTAGGAAAAACAGTGAGTTTGGTGGCACAAAGTGTGACTTTGATGGCAAAAACATTTTTTCAATAGCAAAAAAGTGAGTTTGATAGCAAAAGCAATGGGTTTAATAGCAAAAACAAGGAGTTTGATGGCAAAAACAACGAGTTTTGAATGAAAAACAACGAGTTTTGGTAGCAGTAAGAAAAAGCAGTGAGTTTGGCACTATTTTTACTGCCAATATAACCATTTTGGTAGTGTTTCGAGTAGTGTAGCACAACAAATGTATTAAAAAAACCGTAGTGCAGATGAGCTGGCAATTTAATATTTCTATGATTAATATGAAATGCCCCGTGTTAATCAAGGAACACATAATTTTAATATAAAGAAATAATACCAAACTTACCTCAACCAGGACTACAAATCCACAATCGATCCAGATATTTAGTAAATAGATATAAAACGACGGCGACTTTCTTCTTTTGTAATTTACAAACAACAGACTAGCAGAGCTGAGCTTTGTCTCTGAACTCGTGACTCGGCCCAGTTTCTCTCTCGGTACTAGGTGGGGCAACATAGGCAAGTACTTTGGGGCTATTCTAAAACGTACAGACACCTGAAAATGCCGTATTTTAAAAATCGGAGAAAAATTCCCCAGTTTGTCTTGCATTTCAGTGGCACTATTTTTATATGCATTTAAAGTTACTAATTGGATTTTAATAGAGTTAAAATATTATACGCAAACATATCATGAAAAAAAGCCAAACCAGCTGAATAATATTTCTGATCACAAAGTAGCTTTTTTAGGTAAATTGTGGCATTTTTGCTTGGCCGCACATTATTAGTTCATGTATAAGTCTAAACTAGATCCTTTGGAACTCTCAATTCTGGAAAGAAAAACTTTTATCTTAGAAAAAGGATTATTTTATGTTACAAAAAGGAAAATTTCCTTGTTGTAACATGCAATTTTTCATGAAAATTGTAAATTTCGGGAAAACTATTTAATGAAAAATTCCGGAAAAATCATGTTAACAAATGTAACTCTCTGACGCAACTTTGTGCCAAATATAAACTGAGTTGATTAAAACCTGGCAATTTTAGAAACTTTTGCACATTTTGTTTTTTTCCAACATTTCAAATAAGCACTTGTCTAGAGTTGCAAGCTGAGTAAAAGTATAACAGGAACATTTCAAAATATTTTGCTTCCTAGCTTCAACAATTATTCGCTATGAATACTTGCGGGTATGACAGAAGAGACGAGGTTGATTGCGACTTCACTGCCGTGCTGAGTCCGGTGAAAAAAGACAAAAAATTGAGCGTTTCTCAGACCAAATTCCTTTTTGTACCATTTGCGCTGTCTTTGTTTGAAAATGTTATGGCATATTTACTCCAATGCTTTGCGACTTAAATATGTTCAGAACAGACCATATTTAGTACAATATACTTTTTCTCCGAAGAGATCTATCAAATCCTGAAACAAAGGTTACCATTCGAAAAAATGTTACCAAAATGCAGGGACATTGATCTAAGAACGAACGAACGAACGAACGAACGAACGAACGAACGAACGAACGAACGAACGAACGAACGAACGAACGAACGAACGAACGAACGAACGAATGAATGACTTTATTTATATAGTGAAAAATTCACCATTCATTGATTTTTCATTTTACACTCTGTTTTAATACAGATTAAAGTTATTACAAAATTATTATCTATCTAAAGTTACTATCACATTGGTTAGGTTATACTATTATAGACCTATTTACAATGGTTATACTTAAAATTGGCCCTAACGTACAGCCATTTCAAAACTAATTAAATTTGTTTATTATACCTATAATGGCAGGTTATTCCACAAAACTGGCGCCCAATATTCAAACGATCTTCTTTTACTGTTCGTACTTTCACTGTTCGTATACTGCACTAAAATTAAATCATGGAATAGACTTTTAAAGTGAACAATAATATAAAAGGTCTGAAGTTGAGAGTGGAGTATATATTATAGCAGGAAGTACAGCATGAATATCCTCCATATAATAGCTATTGTGTTGTCTTTTCAATAATGACGAACGATGTATTGAATCTTGCTCACGTTAGTTGAGGTTTCGAGGTGTTAGTTGCATCTTAAACCTTCTACGCGCTGGGCATGGTTGAGTTGATGGCTTTCAATGTATTTTAAAAAGTTAATTTTATTTAGGTATGGAGTACAATTTTGAAATTGTAGAAAGTTATGATTATGGTCAGTCTTCTCCATATGACCCTGGGAGCGTGATGCATTACGGACCGTATGCATTCGCTAAGGATAAAACAAAGACAACAATCGATTCACTATTTGGCGCCACCATTGGCCAAAGTCTCCAACTGAGTGATGCTGATGTTGAACTGGCTAAGTCGTTGTATGATTGTGGCACTGGAAGTAAGTTTCAGCAAAGTCATAATTTACCTGTAATTATTTGTGAGACCAATTATTTGGCGGGTTTAATTTCCTCAATACTATAAACGCTATAGATTTAAACAACCAGCTAGTATAATATCAGTCATGTTTTCGCTCGTTACTTTTTTAAATGTGAATGCAAAACCCAATCGATGCAATTCGACTGGGCTTTGCATTCATTTAAAAAACCAGAGTAGCGAGCGAAAATATAAACCCTATGTTACAAGGCAATAACATTGCATTAATTGCACATTTGTAAGCAAGATTGCATCGTATAACATCCCTAGTCTGCAACTGATGTACATCATTCTGTTTAATTAATATCATATAATATTGAATTCTGATCGTTTAATTGGTAGTTTATGGTCACGTGATATTGAATAGAAAATTCCATTTCCCAAGAATGCAATGGAATACGTTCCATTGCACTCTTGCGAGTGCAATTGTACTATACGTTTTATTCCATTGTACTCTTTGTGTTTTCGATAAATCGCATCCGTCAAAATGCTTCTCGTACGGTGATCGCAGTTTATTTTAACCCGATATTCGAAACTCAGTAAATGCCGGGATTTAATGCAAATACGACTCGTCAAAATGGCGGGAGCTTACAGTAAACCTTTTAATATTAGTCTATTTTGGTATTATACAGGGTGTATAAAAAAAAACGCAACCTCGGAATTTCCCAAGAAATCGACATTGTTTTGAAGACAAATGATTTTAGGCGCCTGGGAATTAACAAATATAAAACATTTTCCGTGTTGATATACAGTTATATCAACACGAGTGGAAATTGGGAAAACTCGAAATTGTGTGGAAACACGACGCCCGAAGAGTGTTTTCACACAATTTCGAGTTTTCCCAACTTCCACGAGTGTTGATATAACTATATATCAATACGGAAAAAATGTTTTATATTTGTTTTATAATATAGCAATGTCAAAAGCCCGAAGAATAAGAACAATTTCCGTGTTTACAAGCGGCGGAGAATTTCCCGTGTTGACATGGAGTTATATCAACACGGCTCTTAGCCAATCAGCGTTCAGAATTTACAAATGCTATATTATAATTTAAAATAGCACAACTGTCAAAATTACTGCACACGCGAGTGTGCAAAATTTATGAAAAGCAAAATTTATGCATTTATTTAATGCACAACAACACTAATATGATCTATTAGCAATTCAATTTCAATTCCCAGGCGCCTAAAATCTTTTATGCTTAAGAATTGCAAAGTGATTTCTTAGGAAATTCCGAGGTTGCGTTTTTTTTATATACACCCTATATAAAACAAATAACTCGGCTGTCGCTTCGTTGAATGGAACATTCCATCTTTCACCTCATGAAAATATTCTTACCATTGCACTCATAAACATTCATTATTTGTATAATGTAATACGATATGTAAAAACGCTTTGTGGGGAACGGCCAGTGCATGCATGGAACGGCAGGTTCGATCTCAATCCTATGCAAGATCACAAATTCACTCGGTGCAATATTCTATCAACATGTTCCATTGCATCAATTAACAGTAAAATCGTTGTAAATTTTATATATACATCAATGTTAATTATATTACCTTGACAATTAAACAACTAAATTTGCACACTAAATTAAATTTGTCTTTTCAAATATTCTACAAACGTACAATAGTCAAGAATAAAATAAGTTTGAAGAATTGGAAATTGTCCTATATTTTTGTTGCTGACTGTGCAGTATCTAGAGTCAGATGACGCCTTTCATGACGACCTGCACAAATCTTAGAGTTATAAAGCATACTACAAAGCGCTGTAATTCTCCAATGATTTTATAGGTTGCTTCGATTTGAACACTGGATGTAAACATTGGGCTAATAATGGTGGCTGTAATGAGTATCGTCAATGGATGTTGGAACATTGCCAAAAGTCTTGCTGTTCTGCAGAGGATACACACCAAAGCTGTTCATATTGGGCAAGTATTGGAGAGTGTGAAAAAAACCCTGGATGGATGTTGGAAAATTGCAAACGGTCTTGCCATATTTGCGAATGTTCAAATACAGTAAGTTACTTTTGAATAACGAATCCATGCACTATATATTAATACTATATAGACTTTAATTCATGATTGAGTCGGTTTTCTTTGATGTGCCGAAAAGATAAAGGAAAACTCAGAAAATCGTCGTTCAAAGCAGACGAAACAGACAAAACTTTGTTTGAAAACCTCCTCAACCATGAAGTATATGAGATCAGGAATTCTCCCCCTGAAAATATTCAAAATGGCGGACGTTCAGTTGGGTGAATGCCTCTCATGCAGAAGCGCACTGGTTATAGGAACATGGCGAATGCATTTTGGTGATGAATCATGGCGTGACGGCGGTCACGCTTTTTTGGCTGTTTCCATGCTTTCCCAGACTTCCGAGAAAAATTAAAAATCGCAACTGAAGAACTCGAAACAAATAAAAATGAGAGGAAATTAGAAATCTCAATCTGAATAGTTAACAGTCATGCATGGTATCAAAGACGCTTGATACGCTTATAATTATGATATATTTATTTATTTATTTTGTTCATTACAATCATTTTTGACTTTACTCATTGTATAGGGATATTGATATATTGAGCAAACGAATAAAAGAATGGACAATTTATTCCTGAGATTATAGTAGTTTCACTAGAATACTAGATATACTAGATGTACCGGGTGTAGTTAATATAACAAACAATTAAATGGTGCATTGAAATTAATGACTTGTCTTGTTTATTCCTCGTGCATACCTTCAAGTTTTTGAATTGCGGGGGGAACAACTCAAAATCTATCATACACAACATCATGCATAAAATCAATCAAGCATGAAAAATCAGCCGTGCGTTAAAATATGCGTAAATATGCGTGAGTGTACTTGCGCATTCTCATCATCTTTTGTTCTCAATTCAACCGTGCGCGGAAAAGAGAGTTATGGGAATAAAATCCGAGAAGGTGGGTGGGCGCTCGACTCTCAAGCCTTAATTTCTTGCTTTTGTCACGTTGTAGTTTTGAATGAGCCGATTGATTTACGACGCTTGCTACATTCCCATGTAGTTTTCCCACATAATTAACTGCCCATTATTATAATTTAACGGGCCCATCGGAGCCGTTCTTTTGTCCTTCCCCTCTTCCGATACGGCATGTGAATTTCTCCCCACTAATGAAAATACTTGCGCATTTTCATCAGCTTTTTTGTTCTCAATTCAACCGTACGCGGAAGAGAGAGTTATGGGAATAAATTATTTCGAAATATATTTTGCGGGCCGTTAATGCACTTCCCATTCCCTTAATTCTTACTGAACTCTTTATCCCTATATTTCCATTTATTCAGACAGTTTTTAGCCCCCTAGTATTCACCCTCCCCCCCCCAAAAAAAATAAAAAAATCCAATAGGGTACGGAGCAGACATCGGACAGTACATTGCCAGAATTCGGAATGATTATGGAGTTCCCCCGCCACCAAACGAATTAAAGGCACGTACAGTTCAGCCTTTTGAATGATGGTTTTTAAGACGCATTTCAGCCCTTTTGATTGAAAAAACTAACTAGGAAAATCAATTAAGCGTAATTCAAGATCAGTAAACTCAATGTTTTTAACAATAAAAATGTTTTAAAATGTTAAAAACATTAAGTTTGCTGATCTTGAATTATGCTTAATTGTTTTTCCTAGTTAGTTCTTTCAATTAAAAGGGCTGAAATGCGCCTTAAAATCCATCATTCATAAGGCTGAACTGTGCCTTTAAATACGACGGTAGTGCATCGTATGAGATGGATTAAATTGTCTGATGAATTAAATTCGTCCAAGACTGACGTTTTATCCGTCATGGTCAGACGGATCGGATACAACGTCTGTAAGCGCGTCTTCGTTTCATACGACGTCTCATATCGTCGTGTCGAATTAAATGCATAAATTATGTTAAAGTGCCCCTGACACAAAAATTTTAGAGCCGCTTGAACACGCAAAATGTGGGCTTTTTGTTGGCACGCGTCCGTGTTTGGAGGAAACTGGAACGAGCGGTTTTTGTTACGTCACGCAAGTGAGTCGGCGTATTCTATAGTATTCGACTTGTACTAACTCTTGGCGCATATAGTCCATATACAAATATACTAGATTTGTGATCGAAAAATATATGCCTTTTTACTATGTTGCAGCTAACTGTACCAATAAACCATGTTTAAAAGATGGAATAAGTTTACACAATATTCCATACTTCAATAACGAACGCGCGGAGCTAAAAGACGAAGAAAAGTGTCGGTTGGTTTTTTCTCTCTTTCTGGTCTCGTGGTTCTTATATCTGGGTAATATATGATCGCTAGTCATGAAATCAATTCGTCTGAATTAAATTCGCCGTTTGAAACGAAACCATTTTAATGTCGACCAATTGACGAATTTAACTGAATGAATTAACTGATTCGTCTGAATTAAATTCGACGTATGAAACAGGTCTTACCTCCACACATCCAGGTGAATTTTCGCTAAAAAGCCTTTATATTAGGAATGTGAAATAAATATACGACCAACTGTAAGGCACATTGTTAGGCCCATGACCATGTCTATTCATTATATTATAATGATATTAAAATTGCCTCACCTATAATAATTGGAAGTATGTCGATGATACATCTATGTCAGAATTTACTATGTCAATATACACCCAAGCGAACAAATTCCAATTTAATGAAAGAAAATGTAAAGACCCGTTTACACTGGCGATTTTTTGCTGCGATTTTAAGTGCGATTTTTTCTGCTGACATGATGGCGACATGTCAAATCGCCAGTGTAAGCACCTTGCGATTTAACTGCAATTCCAGTGCAACTTCACTGCGACAAGCTGCAATTAGATATAGTTCGATCGTGATCGAAATATATCACAGCTCGCTGCGATTTTTCAAAAAGATGACGTCGAAATAGCAAAATACGACTGTCAGTACCCCTCAACGGCAGGCGTTGTCACCTTCAATAAAGGCGTTTATCGTCTTTATCAAAGTCAAGCAACATCATAAACTTATAAATATTTATACAATTCTTCACTTTCACGCTGTTTTTAAAAGCAATATTGCACAGGTTAATCTACTATAAATGCAGTTAATTATCAATAACATATGTGAATAGGGAAAGGGTAGGGATAAAATGCTGAAACGGAAACTGAAAGCGGAAACTGACTAAAAATGGGGATAAAACGCTGAAATAGGGATAAAACGCTGAAATGGGCAAATTTAATCGAATTCGTTGTTTGCTAGACCATTGCGAACGCATGTAATTTGCCTATAAAACTGAATAAATATACGGAAAGAAGTTCCCGGTAAAATAACAGCAGCGACTTGTGTATTGACTATTATCCATATATGTTTGACTGCTTGAGTACATCGTCGGTAAAATTAGTCTGTAGGGCCATTTCAGTGGACCGATTTGCTCGAAATCCTAATTTTGTTGAGAAAAAAATACAGTGTTCTTTAAGATAACCACCAATTGACCATGTACAATCCTTTCGATAATTTTACTAACGGCCTTTAGGTCTGAGATAGAGCGATAATTATTTTTATAGGTCCTTTCTCCATCTTTAAATATTAAAGCTAAAACCTTTGCGGATTTCCATCTCTTTGAACTGAAAACATCCATTGGGGAAAGAATTGTTGATAATTCTTGTAAGTACGGGAGAAATCGCACCAGCTGCAATATCTTTCAGCATTCTTATACTAATTTTATCTAATCCAGCAGATTTGTTAGATTTGAGCTTGAGCGAGCAATTCGGCCTTTGAACATGGTCACTTGTCACAGTTTGAAGGTGAAATTCAGACAGATGTGTAGATAATTCTAATCAAAATGGGTAAAAGTCGGGTAAATTTCTTCCTAGCTGCCACCCCCCTAATTTTTCCCTACGCCTATACTTATTTATGTTATTACTTACTTATTTTCACTGTTATTACTTACTTATTTTTACTTATTTTACTTTATTACTTTCATATTATTAGCATGATGAAGATCCGGGCTTACGGATCGAAAGCTTTGCAGTAATAGTACGTGGTGTTTCCACAAACAAATTAGCTATTATATGTTTTATCGCCATGCAAACGTACAAAGAACTTATTACTTATTTTCGTTGAAGATGGAACGGCATAGTGGGTGCATGTTCAAGTAAAGTTTATTTAAAGACGCTAGCCTCATCAACAGGAGTTTGTTTCCATGACGGGCGTCACGTACAAACCAATTAAAAATATTTACAGATATACATAAAGTAGGTGTGTCCCAAACATGAGTTAATATTAACAAGACGCCTGCTCAGGCGTTCCCACTGGCCTCGCGGTTGGTAAAATACCATCGCAATATTCTAAATTTGAAACATGTACATGTTCTTCTCTTCTTGACGACCGTCACTTCATGATCACAAACATTCAGTCCCACAATTACAGCGTCTAAGATTTGTAACGTGTAGTTAAATGGAATTGGTCCTAATCAGCGTGAGCATGTTTTAGCTAAATTGCGCAATCCTGAGACCACGAGAACCAGGGCGCTTATACAGGTATAAAAGATATATAAAAAATATCAGAATTGTAAAATGGCCACTAAACTGAAAAATCCGCACAATGTCTGCAGACTTTATGTGAAAATGGGTGTTTTAGGGTCTTCTGATTAAAGTGCATATGACACGAATATGATTATTTTCTTGAATGAAAGAACTCTTTAAGCTGTAGTGTAACTTCTTTTTCATTTTCTTGATTTTATGGTTTGTTCCCGTGATATTTCAATTTGTTTGATATGTAAATGAGTGTGAATATGTCCGCTAATTTATGACGTCACTTTGGTTGCAAGCTCTTCGAAATGGTTCAATATCACTGCTATCATCCAAGACGATAATTTCCGGCAAACTTCACTCACTGGTAAATGTGATGAAACACTGGAGAAAAACGTGAACTGATATCTACAGTTTTTAGAGTTAATAGATTTATAGCTAGTGTAAGTTGAGCTTGCAACCAAAGTGACGTCATAAATTAGCGGACATATTCACACTCATTTACATATCAAACAAATTCAAATATCTCGGGAACAAACCACAAAAACAAGAAACTGAAAAATAAGTTACTCTATAGCTTAAAGAGTTCTTTCATTCAAGAAAATAATCATATTCATGTCATATGCACTTTAAGAGTGACCGCTTACGCACAAGAAAAGGTTTAAAAACACAATATATTTGAATTCATGGCCATGGGGCGCAAGTGGCATGTTGTAAAAGACGGACTGGACTGGGCTGGACTGGACCGGACTGGACCGGGAAAACGCGGACTGAGTCCGTGTTTTACAAATCGCGGACTGAATTTGTAAAACACGGACTGGACTGGACCGAGAAAACACGGCGGACTGAGTCCGTGTTTTACAAATCGCGAACTAAGATTTGTAAAACGCGGACTGAGTCCGTGTTTTACAAACCGCGGGCTGCAATTTGTAAAAGGCGGACTCATTTCCTGACAAACATCGAAGTGACTCAGTCGTAAAGGTTTTGGCGGGAATTGCACTCAGTCGTGAGACTTTTGGCGGGAATTGCGGATAATAGATCGGTCAAGGAATAATCATATCCTGCCGGACCTAAGGTTGGTAGAAATTACTATTATTTATTTATTGTTTTGAATAAACAGCGTTCAATCTTAGGAACACGCTCAGTCATGTGGCACTTTGTGCCACTATTGTCGAGGAAACTCATGCTCCAAATGTGGCCGTTTCATGTAAATAGTTGTATGCCTGTATAGGTATAGCTCTTATTATAGCAGATATACCATTTAGTGTTAATCATAATTAGACGAAAATAGAGTTAATTCGTTTATTTTGTGTTCGTGGGGAAGAGGGCGTATTAAATAAAGGTGTCTACAAATTTGCGAGAAATATGAAATGAATACTGTAATCGAATTTACCTTTCAAATATTTGTTTTATTAAACGGGGAAACTCTCGCACGCCATCAAAACATCAAAGGTAGTGCTGTGCATATAAATTACAATAAATTTAAATTTCTCAACTTTTATTGTTGTCGTACGAGGAAGTTTCTAAAAATCGTTATTCGATTATAGTGTTCAATTCGCATATTTCTCGCAAATTTATATATACACTCGTTTTCAAAATTACGCGACCTCCCTGAAAAATACTCTTATTTCAAATGGGGAAAGTACAAAACATAGACCCCCGGTGCATGGACCCCTTGTCTGGACTGGGTCCATGGACCCCTCTATGGACCGGGTCCTTGGACCCCCTCTATGGAGTGGGTCCATGGACCCCCTCCATGTGCCGCAATTTTCCAAATTTCAATATTACTGTTAAACATGATTCGAGTTTTCAATTTTTAAAAATATTTTAGTGGTTTTAATGCATACTTTTGTTCTTAGCAGTAAACCTCATCTACACTCCACTGTTTTCTTCATACTAAAGCGAGGCTTGCTAAGACATATTATGACAAATCAATGCACCATGTGAATAATAATAGTGTTA